CCATGACTTTTACCAGCATTATGAACACTAGTTGCTAGCCAGCTGTGCGTTACTCATAGCTGCATGTTGTTGCTACTGCTACTAACTCTCTGATCCGGGTACCCCTATCGCATCTCAATCTGCGGCCACTCCGTTTGAGTCGCGGGAGTCACACGTTAGACACACGACCGTCTGCATGACTTCATGGTGTGCCTTCTGCAACACCTAAACCCTAGGGGTACTTGGAAATATTTTTAATTTTTGGTAATTATAATCCCTAAGAAACAGCTAAAATTCTAATTTTTGCTAGGATTCTAAGTTCAGTATAGAAACTCCCAGACAGCGCAAACTTCTGCCTGAGCCCTAAGCGCCCGGGGCCCAAAGGTCTGTTTAATTGGACATGGTAGGGCCTGTGGGATCCAGGTCTGCCTCGCCACCCACCGCTTCAGCTTTCGACCTGATTCCATTATTAGGGTTATTACTATTGCTATGTGTATTATTATTGTTATTATCGCTTTTATTATTATTATTACTATTATTATTACTATTACTATTATTATTATTATTATTATTATTATTATTATTACTATTACTATTATTATTATTATATTATATTACATTATATTATATTATATTATATTATATTATATTATATTATATTATATTATATTATATTATATTATATTGTATTGTATTGTATTGTATTATATTATATTATATTATATTATATTATATTATATTATTATTATTATTGTTATTACGATTCAGCTTTCTTCTTATTAGGCTCATATAACCCGTCCCGGGACTTGCTGCGGGTGCACCATGGTCTGTAAATCCTGACAGCAGCGCAGGGAGTGTATGTCGGTTGCAGCATTTGGCTCAAAGCCAAGACCGAGATGCATGCAATTCTGCCAGCTACAGTTTAAGTGTTAGCTGGCTTGCCTGCATATGTGCTCGAAGGAGCCAACGTTGTGCTTGGAAGCCTTTAAGAATCTAGCTATAGTGCACATGGATAAGACATATGCACTGAGCACAAACTACGCATCCAGAAGTAGATCTGTCTTCCCAACTATAGTTAGGGTTCAGTGGCACTGCCAGCAACAAGGTGCAATTAACTCTACCTTATGGACCAGAATAACCCCGCATCTTCGGGAATGTCATGGGAACCACCGCCTGCTCTGTATCGCGAAGACTGGAAGGAAAGGAGTGTCCTCAATGGGGGCCAGAAGGCCCCGGATTGAAAGCTCTTCATCAAGCAAGACCTCGTAGTAGAGTAGGCAACGTTTGACCTGTTGAGGGGAGGGGGTGTACTATAATCCCTGGAAATCCGTTTGCATTCCCAAAGCTTATCCATTAGTTGGCCTAGGATATTGGACGAGTATGAAGATGTCGCGTGTGGGTTCCTGAGGAGGAGTCCTCTCTCAATGCATGGCTCCAAAATCCGCCGAACACTAAATCCTGCACCGTACAATAGGTGTCGCAACAGTTCGTAAGTATGGCCTCAAGATAATACAACATGATAGAATACAGCATAATACAGTATCATTTTGCATACTAGTCTTTAGAGTTCCTGAACTCCGAGTTTCCAAGTTCAGCGGTATTGGACCATGGATGGTGTGCGAGTCCATTTCCATCCCTTGGAGCTGTACCGGCCGACCTAAACCTTAAACCCTAAACCGGGTCTTCCTTCAGCCTGAGTTTCATCTTGTCCCGCCGCCTGGGAGCCATTGATGAGATGCACCCGACTTATTCAGGTTTAGGGTTTCCTGTGAAGCTGTCCCTACCTTGAAGCCCCAAGTCATGCATCACGCGGAAAACATTCACTATTGGGCGCCGAACGACGGAGACTCCTACTATCGTTGCAAGATCGGGTCTCGGGAGTTTCGGGAGAAGTCTCTTCAGGTTTGGGGGAGCCGGATGCGTGGGTCAAGGGTTAGATATTGGAAGGCCCAGGAGACTGAGACTTCTCAAAGTAGCATGCCAGAAGCTAGTAGCCGAAGTGGGTCTCATACTTTTTCTAAATTTACAACCTTACGTATAACTATCGCCTGGAATCCTGGAATCTAGAAGTTTAGGGAGCTTTTCGTTAGTTCAGTATTGCTGCCCCCGTTTGTCCAGATTGCCGGGCGGTGCTGGAGAAGAATGTTCCCACGGATTGCCAGAGGCACAGAGGAACTCCCAGGATTCTGCCATTGAGCCCTCTGCAGCTTTAGGCGTTTAGGGGCTTAGGGTTTTAGGGTTTTGATGGATTTAGTAGATGCCTAAACCCTAAAACCTTAAAGCACCAAAACCCTAAATTCAGGGTAGGCTTCCGAAGCCTTAAAGCCCGCAAGACGTAGGTCCCAGAGTCCAGAGAGAGTTTTGCCAGCCAAGTTGCAGAAGTCCCAGACAGACCTGCCAGCATTACACGTCCGAGGATGAGCCCGCAGATTCCAAAGCTGTGTTCGGTGTAGAAATGCTCGCTTCACCTCAGACGCAAAAGACCATATATAACAAACCCTCAAGCCTGAAACCTGAAACTCTAAAACCGCTGGACCCTACTGTAATGAAGCTGTGCTGGCCATTCCGCACGAGAAGGTGTCCAAAGACCTGAAGCCATATCCCCGTCCCTACCCTTAACCCCTAAACTAAACCCTCAACCCCTCTATTTTAGTGGGGAGCTCCCAGAGTTTGGCGACTCTCAGGTCTCAGGCCTGAAAACCCTAAACCCTAAACCGTGATTCTCAGGTCTGAGGCCTGAGAAGGTGACCCAAGACATCAGCAGCCAGCGCCTGCGGTTCCTTGCCAAGGCGGGGTTTTGGAGGTCCCAGCTGCCGTTGCTTTTGGAGGTCTGCAGCTTTGGTTCCCTGGGGTTTAGAGTTTAGGGTTTAGGGTTTAGGTGGTTCGGCTAGGCCACAAATCCGGAAAGACCCTAACCGACAGGCAGTCCGGCTTAGCAGTGATGGCGAGGAGGGTGATGTCGGCTCTGGTGCAGGTGGTGGCGGAGGCAGTGGTGCCGGTGGCTATGGCGGTGGTGTCGGTGGAGGGTGGGGTGTTCTCGTCTTCATCTCCGATCACAGCACCAACAGCAGCAGCAGCAACAGTGGCAACAGAGCAGCAGTAGGTGCAGTGCAGCAGTGCCAGTACCAGTAGAAGTAGCAGAAATTCGCAGTAGCAGTGGCAGTAGCAGTCGTCGTTGTATAGGTCAAGCTCTTCCAGCGCCTCCCGTTGGAACAGCACGGCGTCCTGGCATCGGCCGGGGCCTCAACGCGGTGGTGCCACTGAGAGGTAGCGTAACAATAAATAATAATCATGATTTATCATTATTGTAGATATAACAAGGAGGATAATGGTAGGTTTGGGTGGGACACCACTGCTGGACCGATGGTTAGCATGTCGGAGCTCGATGTCGAGGCCTAGTACCCGAATATCGGTCGTGGCTACAGAAGCAACTGGTTTTTTTACAGTAAGTAGTCCCAGCACAAATCCCAGATTCTCAATGGGAGCGTGGCAATACATACCTAGCAATGCCAGTCTTGCTGGTGCTCCAGCAGCTTCTCAGATTGTTGGATTGCCGGCAAAGAGCTGTTTCCCGCAGGAGCCTGAACCATCCTAAACTTGCGCCCTAAGCCCTACAAGCTTTGAGACCCACACTTGATACATAGAGAGTGCCATCGGAAAGACAGATCACACTCAGGCTTCTTGAAATCTTCTGGGCGAGACCTGGGTGCGAGTTTCCATTTTTGCAGGATTAGAGGGTTGGGTTTTCAGACTACAGGGTGTAGGGCTTCAACACGAAACCCTAACTTCGCCGCTACATCACAGAACTCATCGGGCGAGGAACTCTTGTCAACTATACACTTACAATCGTTGAACAAATCTATCCGCTACCCCCTAAACCCTTTAGCCCCTACACCCTAAACTGGCCCTAAATCCTATAAACCTCAAATGCTTTTCTGCCTTGCATCTGGCAGGCCTGTCAAGTGGTTGACTTTGACGATGAGGCGCCATGTACTAGAGTGGCGGTGGTAATTACCTATACTGTTGCGGGGGGTTCCTGATTACAATTATAGTATAATGGGCCCCAAAACCCTATTCTAATTGTATAGGCCGCTACATTTTAGAACCTTACTATAGATCCCTTTAAGGAACCCTTTAAAGGGAACCCTTTTCTAATCATTAAGGCCCCTATAGTAGCCGTTGCGCCCGGAAGTAAGAAGCCCGACTTTGGGCTGAAGAGAGAAGGGATGTGCAGCCCTTTTGGGGTCCCGTTTAAGGGGATTTCTGTATTTGGGGGTCCCTGTTAAAGGCATTCCGTTAAAGGGACATGTAGGGTTTACGTAGGGTTTTGGGTCTTGGGGGGAGGTCCTGTCGGACATAAGTCTTTCACACTTACGGTATCTGTGTTTCTGGCCCTGGGCTCCAACACCAGGTGAGATTTCTGGCCTTACCTTCAAAGCGAGACTAAAACGCACCCCGTAGGGATATGAGAAGTCGGTGCCTTTGTCGTTGAAACTGGTGCCGGCTGATATCCTATCTAAACTTTCAGCCTTCAAACCCACAGCCCCAAGCACTGAACCCTCAACCGCTTTAGGATCTGTGAGACTTTCGGCTTCAAGGCTCCGAGTTTGGGTGAAGCGCTTTTATTGGTGCAGTCAGTGCTTCTGAAGACCAGCGACTATCACTCATCCTGTCGGCAGGGAGAAATCAGGATTAGTATTGTTGTACTATGCTGTTATTAGCCCTAAACCCAGATAGGTCTTCGAAATCTAAGGCGATCTAAGGTGCAAGGAGTGCGCGGCTGCAGCATGCCTGAACCCTCAGCCCCAAGCCGACAAAGACCCACACTGATGCGACTGAGAGTTCCAGGCATCGGCGTTGCAATGTAGGGGCCTAAATAATTGCCAATACTACCGTGGGGTTCCTTAGTAGTAGCAGTAGTAGTAGTAGTAGTAGTAGTAGTAGTAGTAGTAGTAGTAGTAGTAGTAGTAGTAGTAGTAGTAGTAGTAGTAGTAGTAGTAGTAAGACCCCCATATTCGGCACGTTCTTTGTCTTCGGGGACTGTGCAGACCCCACATGCCACAATGGCGATCAGTCCTCGCAGAGGTGATCATCCGACAAGGCGAGGAAGGAGACGAGCTCTTTGTGATCCAGGTCCCGGATGGGACTTGCTTCGGGGTTGTTGTAGGGGCTTGCTTTATAGGGTTGTATTACCTTCTTTTTTTTTTTTTTTTTTTTTTGGGGGGGGGGGTGTTATCGGGCACTACTCGGGTGTTACATACATGTATATATTATATAGGCATACATATATACATACATGTATCTTTATGTTTATATACATAAACACATCGATGTAAGGTTTGCGTTTGGGGTTCCTCTACGAGTGTTTAACCTGTTGTCCAGTTTTCCTCCACAGGCTAGTGAGCTTGGAGTATGTTTGCGCACAACACTCTGTTTATGTCCCTATCTGATCGGTGATAACTTGCAGAAACTTAGCATTGATATGGTTGTTAACATTGGGGCCTCAATAACTGCCTATACTATTTCGGGGTTTCTTCTTACATCTATAGTACATTATACTCCCAAACCCCAATCTAATTCGTTAAGGGCCTCATATTGTCGCTGTTCGTCTCATTGCTGTTGCTGCTGCTCTTACTGTTTTGGTTGTCAACTCGTTCGTGCGTTTAACCATTCTGTCTACACAAACAAAAACCTGCCCTGCAATCCTGAGCCCCTAAACTCTGAGCCCTAAACCCTAAACCCTAAACCCCCCTAAGCCCTAAACCCTAAACCTCCTGAACCCATGTTCAGCGCCAATCGCAGGAAGGAGAGGCGGAGGTCCTTCTTGGTGACACGCCTGTGGCTCCGTGACATCGCTTTAGCCTTTTGGGGGGTTTATTGTTTAGGGAAACGGTATAGGGTTCAGGGTTTAGGGTTTAGGGTGCAAGTTCAGGTATAACTGCCCTGAACCCAAGCCTTGCAACTACAACCCCAAGACTCAACCCTAAGCAGAAAATGCCACTGTGCAGCAAAACCGCAAAGTATCGCGTTCACTATCCTGCCCGAGCTACCGACATCCCCAGTGCCAAAGCCCCACCCGCGATCCGAGCCTCCGTCGTTAGACCCCTAACCCTCCTGTACTTCTACACCCGAAAACTCGAAAGTCATCTAAATCCTAAAGGTTGAGTTCCAACCCCCCAAACCTCGTACATCCGACGCACAGCTTTGAAAGCCGACCTGTCACAAAACAGCCCAGTGTTGTTCCTGAACGAAGTTTCCGTAGACATTTCGAAGACTGCACCCCGAACACTATTCCTGGTATTTAGCCCTGTACGGCTTGCAGAATTTGGAGCCGGCTCCCCCTTAAAACCCTAAACCTGAAACCCTGAAGCCTAAACCCTGAACCCTTGGGAAAAAAGGCGCTTAAAAGAAAAAAACCTGAACCCTTAAACTCCTAAACCCTACCCTAAGGCTCCTGGACCCTCGTAGTCAGATCCCATTTTTTAGCCCCCAAAGCCCGAACCCCTCCCCCAGAAAGCCCATGACCCCTTTCGGAGCCTTAGGGTAAGGCTCTAAACCCTAAACCCTAAACCCTAAACCCTAAACCCTAAACCCTAAACCCTAAACCCTAAACCCTAAACCCTAAGCCCTCAGCCCCTAAGCTGTTCCAAGAGCCTCTGAGAATCTTCGGCCCGGCGACTACTTCGGGGAAACCGCTTTGCTTCGAGATGAGCTGCTTGCTTGCAGGTTTAGTAGGGTTTATAGGGTTTAGGGGTGTAGGGTTTAGGGCTTTCAGTTTTCAGGGTTTAGGGTTTGGGTAGGGTTTGGTTTTGGTTTAGGGTTTAGGGTTTTGGTTTAGGGTTTAGGGGTTTAGGGCTTTCAGTTTTCAGGGTTTAGGGTTTAGGTAGGGTTTAGGGCTTTCAGTTTTCAGGGTTTTGGTTTAGGGTTTAGGGTTTAGGGCTTTCAGTTTTCAGGGTTTAGGGTTTAGGTAGGGTTTTCAGGGTTTTGGTGTGGTTCGGGCAGTTTCGGGTTTCAGCGTAGCATGGCGGCACCAGCATTGTTCGACAGCCAGCTCTGGCGAGATTAATATCACGCACAAGACTGAAACCGATTGCCGAGCACTGCAACCATGATCCGTCATCAACATCATCCTCATCTTCGCCAGCAGCATTTGCATCCCTATTACTGCCTTTCTGGTGCGATCGCCATAATGATCATCGTGGTAACCATCACCATCTACACCAGCGGCATCCTTATCAAGTTTGGCTTGTCAATCCTAAATCCCTAAACCTAAACCCCTAACCTAAACACCCCTAACTCCTAAACCCCTAACCCTAGAACCCCTAACCTTTAACGCTAACCTAAAACCTTAAACCTCAAACTCAAAAGCCCGGAAATGCCACAACCGGCAAGCCGAAAACCAGAAGCCCTGAAGCAATAAAGTCTGAAAAAGCCCTGAGAGCCATACATTGACCCCTTATCCCTATAAGCCCCGAACTCTCAAACCCTGAAGCCCAAACTCAAAGCCCAGGATAAAAACCCCCAAAACTCTCAAAACCCAAACCTTAAATCCCTAAACCCCCATAAGCCCCAAGGACACCTAAACTCTTTAACCTTGAAGCCCCAAATTCAAAGCCCAGAGGCCACGAGCGGCCACTGTCCGAGCCAAGGGGCCTCTCAAGGCTGGGGCGAAGGCTTTTAGAGTTTAGGGATTTAGCGGTTTAGGGGTTGAGGGGTTTAGGGTTTTGGGCTTAGGGAATTAGGGTTTAGGGTTTTTCGTTTGGGGATGTGGAGATGTGCAAGGGGTTCGTTCAGTCGGAGTGTGCTGATTCCAAGAGCTCTACGGCCTGCCTAGAACTTCTCAAGGATGTTTGCTGCCAGCACTATCTCGAGTGGTCTTGGGGTCTCATTTGCAGAGTGTTCCGGTTGGTCGTGCTATCGTGATCATGCGCTCTTATCCTTGATGTGACTCTCGGCCTGTGGCCAAAACACCAAATCCGAAGTGGTAGTGGTAGTGGCAGCGGTAGAGTGGTGATGGTGGTGGTGATGGTGCTGGTGGTGGTGGTGGTGGTGGTGGTGGTGGTGGTGGTGGTGGTGGTGGTGGTGGTGGTGGTGGTGGTGGTGGTGGTGGTGGTGGTGGTGTGGTGGTGTGTGGTGGTGGTGTGTGGTGGTGGTGTGGTGTGGTGGTGGTGGTGGTGGGTGGTGGTGGTGGTGTGGTGGTGGTGGTGGTGCTGGTGGTGGTGGTGGTGGTGGTGGTGCTGGTGGTGCTGGTGGTGGTGGTGGTCGTCGTCGTCCCAGAGTAGCAGCAGTAGTAGCAGAAGCGGCGGCAGCAGAGGCAGCGGCAGGAGTAGTAGCTGGACATGTCGCCTTCCGTTCCTAATTTGCTGGTGCAGCAGTCGGACGGATCTCGAGCAGTACCAGGACATTCAGGTTTTCCTAAATCCGGAGCCCTAAATCCCAAATCATCCTCCCCCCAAACTGGAGCGTACGACTGAGGCAGGAGCCCTAAACACACACATGCTGCTCAGGCGCTTTCCATCTCTCGGCAGAAGTTTGTGGAGCTTGGTTTGAGGCCAGCAGGGTTCGGTGAGGTGAAGTCCATCTGGGTTTTGATGGGGCCGCACTTTCCGGCACAGGCTGTTTGGGGTTGGGTGGCTGATTCTGTGTGTGGCCGACAGGCTCGAAAACTTGAAGAGTTAAGGCCGTTAAGGGCTGTGGACCCCAGAAGCTGACCTAAATCCTGAACCCAGGAACCGAAACCTTAAAGTGTGCATCCGAACACCCTGCAAGACCGGTTGAAACCTAAACTTACGAAGCTGAAAACCCGAAGCCCTTGAGCTCCAAGCTTCAATCCTTAAGCTCTACACAGGGATAAGCTCGACTTCCCCCAGCGCAAAGCCGTGGGTGGTGGCATGGGCAACCACGTCGAAGTTAAGGCGCCGTCGGGGCTTGGGCTGTCGCTTTCAGACATGGCGGCGTGTTGTCTGATCGTGCAGCTCTCAATGCAATGCTGAACTCTGTTCCTGTCCGTAAACCCAAATCCCGCACTCCTTAGATATCCCTGGCCCTTGAACCTAGACCTGCAGATCCTAGTACCAGGAACCGACGCCAAAGAGCGACAGTGAGAGAATCTAAGCGGCAAGGTGTTCAGGTTCAGGGCTTGCAGCGACTGAGTTGCAGAGGATTCAGCTTCGGGTGTCGGGATGTTCGACTTAAGGTTTAGGGTTGTGGTCTTACGGCAGCGCATGGCGTGAAATCTCAACGTGTGGCAACACAAAAGTCCCCCACCCTTAGGTCCTTAGGTCTTAAGGGCAGAGAAGATGATGTCTTCGGCGACCGTAACTTTTCGGGCGGGTGTGCATACATACGTACATACATACTTAACTACATGCATGCATAAAAACATGTTTGTTTAAGTTGGTCTATGCATTTACACGTGCACATATGCATTAAAATTCTTGCTCCACACCTAGATCTGCCCATCTGCCCACCTTCGCTAACTCTCTCACTCGCTCTCTCTCTCTCTCTCTCTCTCTCTATCTCCCTGGCTCTCTCCCTCTATGTCTCTCTTTGCCCCTGCCGCCAGGCTTAGCTTAGCATTGTGAAGACAGTACGTATACCTCAACACCTATGTGTCAGAAGCGTTGAGGGTATTCAGCTCATGAGGTGTGGGCCTTGGGTTTGGCGTTTAGCGGCTTGGAGAGGGGTTTACATAGGGCTTTAGAGTTTTCAAGCAGCAACCTGAGGTTAAAAGCAAGTCTGCCAAAGCCTCAAACGGTTCGAACATGCTTCCTTTGTTAAGGACAGCTGATGGCCAATGCGCTGAAGAAAAACACAAACCTGCAGAGCTGCTTCGATTGAACGGTGACTTTTTGTTGGTTTAAGGCTCCTCCTCAAAACTTTGGGTCCTGTGTTTTCTGAAATTCCCAAGTGGCATTGATTACAAGTTAGGGCGACCTAGCTGACAACCTACTGGTATGTCGTAGATGCATCGGAGCTGTTTCCGTTCGTCCCGGTAACTATCTTGCAGCTATCTCATAGATCTGCTTACCGGGCAGACATCTCGCTGCCACCCTGAACCCTAAAGTCACACCTCTAACCTAAACCACAGGTCTGGAGGCTAGGGTTTAGGATTCCTGTGACGCCCAGTTAGCTACATACTATCGTAGGTGATTTAGGCTTAGGCAATCCGGTGCTATAGCTTGGTTTTGGGTGGGTTGCTGTTCCATTCGGATTGGACAGTAAACCAGCATTACGAGTCGTCGTCACGTCATAGAAAGACACCTGCAGTCGGAGTATTGCTAGTAGCACATGTACATCAGTAGCAGTAGCAGTAGCAGTAGTAGTAGCAGTAGTAGTAGCAGTAGTAGTAGCAGTAGTAGTAGCAGTAGTAGTAGTAGTAGTAGTAGTAGTAGCAGTAGTAGCAGTAGTAGTAGTAGTAGTAGTAATAATAATAGTAACAGGAGCAAATGTAGCTGGTACAAGAGCTAGTAGCAAGCAGTTGCCACTCGATTCAGCGATGCGCCAAGCGTATCTTCAATCCTAAATCCATCTGAATCCTCGATGCCGCGACCCAGAGCCCCATGCCTTGGCCTTGGCCAAGGCCTGGTGGATTTAGACCGCACTCGCATCAATGCCATCATAGACGTGGCATGGAAGCAGGACCGAGCAGCTCTGTTCTTGAGATAATCGGCCAAAGTCTCAATCCATAATCCTGAAGCCCATACCCTCCACTCCCGAGCCTCACGGTCCGGAGCCATACGCCGTCTACATGTTTGTTGGGGGATATTCCGGGCATCATGTCGCGGCGGTTTTAGATGTGACTGCTTGCAACACATGGTTTAGCCACGCAGGTCTCAGCAACGCAAGGGCTGCTCTTTCGGTTCAATGTTCTGATACGAGCTGATTGCATGTTCTCTTTCTTCACTGTTTACCGGCGAGTTTCAAGGTTTGGCGGGTTTAGGGCTCAGGCTTCTCACCCAAACCCTAAACCCTAAAATTTCAGGGTCTCGGTTTTGTGCTCGGCTTTGCAACATCCGGCCAGCAGGCTCCCTTGGATGGTGTCAAGTCCTCTGGAGGTGCAGCGACTATGGCACAGAGAAACACCTACAGTGCCATAGTTGGGTGTCTGTCAGCAAACAGGGTTGTACTTATAGGATCAGGGGATTGCTAAGCTGCTAACCCCGAAACTCTCATCTTATGGTCTGAGTCCTGACTCTCCATGCGACACCCCCTTGGTCACTGCAGGAAGTCCCGAAGGGAACCCGGCTCATCACTGAGGGCGATCTGAACGCAGACTACTTCTACATAGTGCAGTCAGGACCGGCCAGGGCATGGGTTTTCACAAGGACCCAGGTCGTTTAGAGAGATTGATATTTAGGGCCTATAGAATTACCGATACTGTTGTGGGGGATTCCTTTTTCTATTTCTAGTATGATGGGTCCCAAAACCTCTATTCTATGCAGTAAGGCCCCTATAATAGGGGTTAACGATTAAGGGCTCAGCGGGTTTAGGGTTGAGGGTTTTTGAGGATGTAGGTCAGGACTGTTTCTTGCTGTACTCTATAGACGTCCTTACAGCAGGGCTTGAAGTATTCTCTGGCAGAAACCCTAGACCCTAAAACCCTAAAGCCTAGACCCTAAGGTTTAGGGCTTTTGCGCGTTGGGTTTGGGGTTTACGGTACCGTGGTCAGCTTCCCGGTATTTCCGGTGCCATGGAGGCTAAGGGGCTTCCGGCCGCCTCGGTCGTTTGGGCTGTGGGGAACTGGGATGAAGGTTCTGGTTTAGGGTTTTAGGGTTTTAGGGTTTAGGGTTTAGGGTTTTAGGGTTTAGGGTTTAGCCTAGGGCTTGCAAAATTGGTTTTGGGCTTAGGTCTAAATTCACCGAAGCACAGAATGAGAGTCCCGTCGTGGATGCTCCACGTCCTGGATCCCAATGGTTTACCCGCAGAGGTAACGATGTACCCCTCAACCCTAGGCCCTAAACCCTGAACCCCAAATCGTAATCCATAAACCCTCAACCCTACACCGTAAACCCGAAACCCGAAGCCAAGCAGATGAGGCACCATCGAAGTAGGCGCGAAAGCACCAGAAAGCCTGGACTCATAGATCCGAAGATGAGGATGTTAAATGGACGCCGCAGAACCTGAACCCTAAGCGTTTAGGGTTAAGAGGTTTAGGGTTTACGATTCCAGGGTCTAGGATTAACTAGGGTATAGGGCTGAACCAGCCGCCCTTTCAGGCCTCTTCAGCATCTCAATCGCAGATCAGCAGGCGCAAGGGCCGTCCATTGTCGTCGTCCTTTTGGCTTCAGCGTGTAAAGGCTTGGGGTTTGTAGAGCTTAGGGTTGGAAACGACCATAACAAGAAATAGTGAGCACAACAATATATCAAACCCTAAACCCTAAACCCTGAAGTTAAGAGGTATTAAGCCTATAGGGATGAGTCGAAAGGACTCGCATGATGAACCAGGGGCCAGTGCCTTCTGCATTCAACAGGTTTGGGGCTTGGAGTAATTCAGAACAGCAGTTTACATACATACTTACACACATGCATGCACACATGCATGTATGTCGTATGTATGTATGTATGTATGTATATATGTATTTATGGACACATCCATACATAAATGGTGTTTGAGTGTTCTTTACTTCTGCTAGCGAGTCTTTCTTGTCCTGGCACCCTCTCGAGTCTACCTCAAGGGATCCCGGGTTAAGAGCTTAAGATTCTAGGCTTAGGGTTCGTATTGCTATGATATGTAGCAAGGTTCACAACCCATGTCTTGAGGGCTTTTTCTGCAGGAAATAAACCCTGCAGCCGACATGCTCCTCGAAGCGTATGCTCCGACACACTGCAGTGCAGCTTCTCCGTACACTGAACTAGGACGACAACGTCGTTTCAACCCGGTCATGACATGTCTCCAGAGGCTTTTGCGACACCTGGTATATACTATAGAGGGGCTAAAAAATTACAATTACTATTTTGAGGGTTCCTTATTCAGTTTAAAATATGATGGACCCCAAAACATATTCTAAAAAGATTAAGGCCCCGATACTATAGAACCCTACTGCAGATCCCTTTAAGGAGCCCTTTAAAGGGAACCCTGCTCTAATTCTAATTATTAAGGCCCCTATATGAATCAGCCCGCTTGACCAGCTCGCTTCAGACCCTGTCGCGCTTAGACTATCCGCCTGGCCTGTTTCAACTACCCGCACGAAGACAAGTAATAGTAATCAAAATTAGAATTACAGTCATAATAAACAATACTAAGAATTATGGTCATACTAGTAGTAATAGTCATAACAATTATAATTATAGTAGCCATTTTTATGCTGGTGTGATCCGAGCATGCAGGATGGCACTGCTTTGGGCTCGATGCTTGTCTGGAACACCTAGCGGCGACCAAAGAGGGCAAGGATTATGGTCGCTGATGCTGGGGTTCAGGCTTCAGGGTTTAAGGTTTTAAGAGGTGCAGTGCTGCTACTCCCGAACCATCTCCATGATCATCATGATGACGACGACGCAAAACTTTCCGAGTACGACTGCTACTGTGACGAGTGCTGGTGCTACAAATACATGCGGATGACTATTACTATTGCGCCGGCGGCATTTGACGTGCCTTCCCCAAGCTTCACACGCAAGAAGCCCTGGACAAGCCTGCAAGCTTCCACGGCATAAAAGGCGGTTATTCAGGATTGCCAGTCGGATCAACTATCTATTTGACATTCAAGTAGGAGCTTGCTACTACAAGCAGAACCCTCAGCGCCAAGCCCTGAATTCCACGTACTGTACTTCCGATCTCCTGCGAAGGCAAGACGCAAGACGGATCAGACCAACGTATTAGCAATTTAGGGTTTAGGGTTTAGACCAGAGCAACTTAAGATAATCATATCCATCGCCGTAAGACTTGTAGCTTGCAGGCACGGGTCGCGCTGATTTGAGGTGTGGCTGCCCTGGCAATCAGAAGTCACCGGCAGAGAGGTTTTTGTTTTGTTGGTGCAGCTGTTTACTTATGCACCGATGTCTGTATCTTGTCATTTACTCATTTGTTTACATAGATGTTGGTTTCAGAGTCCATCTATTTATTTGTGCCCCTAAACCCTAAACCCTAAACCCTGTTTATTCGGTAGTCACAAAAGGATTGGCCCCGGCGGCAGCTTCGGAGAGTTGGCTTTGATTTACTTCGCACCTCGCGCGGCCACAGTCGAGGTGGGTTTAGGGCTTTGCAGGGCTCATGTGTGGGTTCAGGGATGTTTCAGGTCTTCTGTAGGGAGGGTTGTGTAGGGACATTGGGTTTAGAGGTTTAGGGTTCAAAGATTTTGGGCTTGGGGCTCCTGCACTGGACCATGAACCCTGAGCCTGCTCCGTTTTGGGATTTCGAGTCCCGGTGGTTGGGGGTTAGCTTGCGGCGAGCTTTGGGGTTTCGGACAAGTAGTAGTCGAAGTTTCGTGATGTTGTGGTTTCTAGAAGGTTTGTGACTTATGTGGCCCAGACTTGGGTCCGACGGCCTTACCGAGCTCAGCAGTGGGCTGCATCAACATTCGTCCCTGCACCTTACTTGAGCCTTTCATGCTGCTCAGAAACTGGAACTACCCTCAAGGCCCAGCAACTGTGGTCGCAGATCAACGGTTCAAAAGGTCAAATCGGAGACTGGCATGACACCTTTTGCACACGAAAGCCCTCGAGTCGCAGGCCACAGAGAAGGCTACCGTGTGGGTCATCGATCGAGGAGCGAAACGGGGGAGGGAGAGTCCATGCAAAGGGTGGAGGGTTTACTCGGTTAGGGTTTGGGTTGGGGGCGTCAAGTGCTGCGATTCGAGTTTCTCGGACAAAGTGCTATGCGGCATGACCCCGTACAAGTACACAGATATATAGAGAGAGAGAGAGAGAGAGACAGAGACAGAGAGAGATGTATATATAGAGAGAGAGAGAGATCAACAAACACAGACAGACACAGACAGACACACAGAGAGAGAGAGAGAGAGAGACACAGACGCACCCAGACCCCAGACAGAGAGACAGACAGAGTAGTTATGCTGCCAGACCTGCTCGGTTCGAGAGCAGTCGAGACTTTATGACGGGTTGTCCTGACCTGCCGAACGCACTGCCCAATCCCGACCAGAACCCAGAGCTGCCGAAGCTCCTTCACTAATCACTACGGTTGATGACATAAATCCTGCATCATCTTCAGGACCGTAAACTATCGGAATTATGGTATTTTCCTCAGTATGGGTAATACGTGGTTTATATCGTGAAGCGTATCGCTCGCACACATGTCTTGGTCGCGCCGCCCCCACGAGGAAACTTCAAGAAGATCTTGGCAAAGTCGGCAGATGAGCTGGAAGGCGAGTACCTGAAGCTGCTCGACAAGGCCCGCGGTGTTACGGTTTGGGGTTTAGGGTTTAGGGGTTTAGGGGTTTAGGGTTTAGGGGTTAAGGTTTAGGGGTTTAGGGTTTCAGATGTGCCAAGACCGAGCAGAAACCTGGGCTGCGCCTCTGTACTATAGGGCCATAATCGTTTCCTACACTATTTAAGGGTTCGTTACCAGGATTTTACTAGCATATACCCCCCCCAAAAAAAAACTGCTGGAGTTTCCTAACTCAACCGAATGCCTTGATATGAATGAGCTCTCGCCACGCATCGTGACGGAAGGGCGTTCACAGGCCTCGCTGGATTCATACCAACTGGAACGTACAGCTGAATCTGGTCACCAGGGGATGTGTCAGTACGAAACATGTTTGTCCAACTACCGCATGGAAACGTTTACGGAACCTGAAACCCTATACACCCTCATCGCAAACTACAAACCCCTCGGAACGCTAGACCAGAATAAACGTCTCCATCGTGAAGCCCTAGAGCCTACAAGCCTCAGAGCACTGGTCATAAGCCTTTACACCTCTTGAAGCCTTGAAATGAAATCTCGTAAAAAGCCAACTCTTTAACCGTGCTGAACCCTAAACCTTACGTGCAACCCCCCTGGTCATGTCCTTTAGCTCGCAGCGACTCGTTGACCGGTCGCATCCTTCAGTAGGTCGAGCTGCTGTCTCCCCTGAAGACGCCTGGACCATAGGATTCAGGGCTTAGGGTTTTCAGGGCGTCGAGGGTTTGAAGAGGTTTTTGGGTTTTCAGTGCGAGGTTTCAGGTGGTTCCTTGAGGACGGCACAAGAGGAACGCGCTGCCCATCAACAATTGCGGTAGTTTTAATGGTGGCAGTGATAGTGCTCGGTGTAGCTGCAAGACTGGACCCAAACCCAAACTCCGGATTGCCATAGACAGCCCAAGCCACCGCCCTTCAGCCCCACACCCGAAGCTGAAAATGTTATTTGGACCACATCCGGAACCTCTAACTTCCCCTATTGCAGCATGCGCAGACACGCACACACACACAGAGACAGCTATACATAAGTTTTCTATCTTTTATGTATATACATATGTATATATACGCACATATGTGTAACTAGCTGTGTATTTGTATACATATATGTGTATGTATACATATGCAGACACACACACACACACACATGCGCGCGCACACTCACTAGTCCTACAGCCTGGAACCTCAACATTCAACCAGAAATCGGTCGGGGAGGGCAGCCGAGGAAAGATGAGAAGGCAGCCCTCGCCCGAAGTATGACGGCAGCCTGCTGGCACTTAATATAGGGGCCTTCCTATTATATTGCGGGGGTTCCTTAGTAGAATTATGGCGTAGTGGGCCTCAAGACCCTAATCTAATTATGAGGGCCCCTATATTAAAAAGTAGGGTTGCAAGCATTCGTAGATGTTCCTGAATTACGGTTCTATGTACAACCGACTTGCTGAATGTGTGATCCGAGTAGAAATGTGCAAAGACTGAACAGACACTGTGCTACACCCTTGACGCTTAACCGACCCTAAACCGCAAAAACCGAGACCCACAGCCCTCCACAGCTGCAAACCCGAAACCCCAACGCCTAAATCCCTATAAGCTGTCACGTCCGAACCCCTCAGGCCCTAGGCCATACAATGAAGGCCTTAACTCTCAACCCCTATGTAGCCGTTGTTGCAGGAACCCCAAAAACCTCATCAGAACAACCAGGTGCTCTCAAGCACTCCACGGTAGGTCCACTGGCTCCAGGTTGTGTTTAGGTCTGTAGGTCTTAGGGCTGTGTGGTGCAGGGCTTAGTCCTTACGCTGTCTACAGTCCAGGGGCATTCAGGTGTTAGGATTTAGGGCCTTAGGTTTAGGATTAGCAGGATTCAGTGCTTCAGTGGTGTAGAGCTTTACGAGTCTAGCGCCTGGGGCATGGGAGTCAGCGATTTATGGTTAGGCCTCAGTAGCGGGTGCTTTTCTGGACAGCATGGTGTCGCCACTTCGTAGAGATACCCTAAAAGGCAGCCTGTCAGAGGAGGTTCAGACTCTAAACTGCATCTTCCCAAAAGTCTAAAGCCCTCAACACTAAACCCTAACTAACCATTGATATTGGAGGAGCTAAGGAGCCAGGGATGATGATAATCCCTAAGGAGCTAAAGAGCCAAGGGAACCCCAAAACCACTGATTAGCTAAGATTCCTACAGTCCCTGGCAAAGCCCTAAGACTCCTAAAGTCCGTGTTGAGCCCACCACGCCCGGACGGAAGCTATGGAGCCTTTGCGCGAAGGTTTCTTTGCGCAAGATCAGGTCTCCGTACCCGATTTTCCAAACGCCCCCATTCCTCAGCTATAAGAGGTTAAGAGGTTCTAGTGATCCGGATTACGGTTTGGGGTATATATTAGGAAGTAGGTGTGGGTTTTCGGGATCAGGATTTGGGGTTTGGGGCTTTTGGGACCAGGATTTAGGGTTTAGGGTTTCAGGAACCAGCATTTTTAGGTTTAGGGTTTTAGGGATCAGGATTTAGGGTAAGAGGCGGTGCCCGGGTACGAAAAACCCAAGCCCCCAGCAGCAAGACTTCAGACTATGAGCCCAAGCACGAATTGCAAGCCTTGGAGCCCAAACTTGCAGAATCCCTGAACCCGAAACCGTAAGCTAAACGCCCTAACCTATGTCAGGAAGTTTCCTTCGTCAAGGGCGAGTTGATTTTCAAGCAGGGCGCTGAAGGCTCCTAGCTTTGCATCAAAACCGGCTTCGTTAGCCTTTCGGATGTAATATAGGGGCCGTCATAATGACCAAACCATTTTGGATCCTTGTTATGGAAAAAAGTATAATGGGCCCCGACACCCTATTCTAAGTGTTAAGGCCCCAATATTAGGCTTTAGGGCTGCGGGTTTGGGGCCATGGGGAGAAGGCTTGCGGGTTGAAGGGTCTAGCAGGTAGAGGTTTGGGATTCCGGATAGGGAGTTTAGCACTGGGGCTGACCATTCAGGTTATTGTGGGGTTTGGTGTTGGGATGTTTGCACGGGTGCAGAGCAGTAGCTGCTTCGTATTCATGATCATGTAGGACTTTACAGTGCAGGAATAGGGGCTACGGCAGTGTCCGCCAGCATCATTGTTAGGTTTAGTTTCCGGTGCTGTAGATCATTGCTCATCGCTGAGGCAAATCTTGGTATCATTGCGGTATACTTAAGTCTGGGCGAAACGGAACCTACATCAAACTGCCGCAACCCAAACCAAAGCCGTATCCTAAACCCTATGTAGCCATCCCCAGACCCTAAGCCCAGGATATTTAAAATCGTGTCCATTGAAGCTCATGAGCAGTTTCATCGTTTGGGGGCTTGTTGGGGTTCAGTGCCTTAGGCTGGTCTGAGGACCAAAGCGTTTTCCACAAGTGCATGTGAATCTTGGTCAAAATCAATATTCATCTCATTTCCGTGACTTGGCGATCTCAACTCCTGCTTGCAGGCGATGCCTTTTACTTGCTTGTGGATGGCACAGTGGATGTCATCAAGGAAAGGGCTGGGTCAGATGAGAATCGGCAGTTGGCAAGACAGGGACTTGATGTATGTAGCATTAGGGGACCTAAACCCTAAACCCCTAAACCCTAAACGGAAGCTCCCAGGGCCCGGATGGTGATCTCAACGCAGTGAAAAGTGATTACAAGGCGCTCCCTGGTTTAGGGCCTTCCCTCCCCTCCCTTCCCTTCTGGTACTTTGCCCGTAACTTTGCGGTGCCGCGCAGGTTTAGGAGTTTAGGGTTTAGGGAGGGTGTGGTTGAATCTGCCCCCTCCTCTTCTTGAAGGCAGGATCCCTTTCGATCCCAGCTCAAAGGTGGGCCCAAACAGATCACGGAACCCCTTCAACCCCAAAAACCTTAAAGCTTAAGTCACCCTAAACTCTAACTCCATCGTCCTTGTGCCAGGACGGAAAGCCCAAAACTCGCTTGAAGGGCACACGGGAGAAGGCACTCTGGAGGGGAGAGGTCCAAATCCTCAGCCCTACCTGCTACACTCTGGCTCTTAGAATCCCTAACTCTTGAACTCGGGAGCCTGGAGCATAGATGCTACCTCGAAACTGTTGCACTGCTGTCGTCGCTGTAATCTGCAACATGTCAGCTTGTCCCGAAATATGCCGGAGGAACTGAGTCTATGGCCGTTGAGACGCGAAGTCCGAGTTAAAGGATTGCAGGTAGGACCGTGGGATGAGGATGCAGCCAAGCCAGAACCATACAAACTTTGAGCCTGCGACCGTTACCCCAAGCCCTGTAGCCGGCATGTAGGAGCCATCTAGATTACCTGGAACAGTGGAATACCCCATGCGTGCAGTTGCGGTTGTTGGTTGTTTGAACGGTGACCATACACACGATCTTCAATATCATGAATTAGCTTCAACATAATACACTGTGATTTCGCTTGGGTTTGTGTGCCATGTAGAAAAACAATAATAATACTCATAATAATAAGAACACTTGCAATAGTAAGTCGTCATAGGGGCGGTAATAGGCATCAATATTCTAATATTAATAAAACTACCCGCGGCCTAGTACAACGACGACTACTCTCACTGCTAGTGTTGCCAGTATGACTGCTACTGTGCGGCTTTCGCAGATTCGCCTCCTCCCCCTCCTCATGCAACTACGCGGCTAGCTGCTAGCAAGAGCTACTTACTGCCCACGTTGTCGCAACCAGCACGTTGCGACTTACACGAGCAATGCTGACAGCGTAACATGAAGTGCGAGCAAGGATGATTCCTGAAACCCCTAACCAAGCACTAAACGATGATTCTTACTAGCACTCATTCTACTATTGTTACTATTATTTTTAATTATTTTTATTATTGTTCCTACACTGTTATTTTTTGTTCTTGAGTACAAGCCCCGAATCTCAGAGCCCGCTCTGGCAGGCTGCCTACTTCGGGGAGAGGGCGCTGCTGACCCTCGGGTTGAAACAGTAAGCCGGTTTAGGGTTTAGAGTTTGGTGTTCCTTTAAAGGGTCCTTTAAGGGGTACTATAGGGATTTAGCATAGGAGCCTTGATAATCAGAAGAGGGTTTGGAGCCCATCCTGCTATATTTATACAGCAGGCCCGGCAAAAGTTCCAACACCGCTTAATGAAGGAATATTCCTTAAATCTTATTAGGGTCTACATACTTTGGGGGTCCATGTGGGCTGAGGGCTCAGGGTTTAGGGCCAGGGTGGGTTTAGCTTTCAGGGCTCTGGATTGATTAAGTTTCTGCACGGGCAGTTGCAGACAGCAGCAAGCGGTACGGGTCACGGAATTGGGCCGGATACGACTGCTTTCACTTGCTGCTGTAGTTCAGGTGGATCTTGCGATGGGGACCGTCTGTCTTGAGTTTGTCCGTGATAGGGCTACCTCCTCGAAGTTGCGTGACTTCGATGGTCGAGCTCCCGACCGAAACATGCCAAAACCCTCCGGTCTTCAATCCCAGCTCATAAAGCATATACGATCCCCCACCCCCCCTTCCCAAGCGCTAGTATCTTGGAAGCCCTAAGCCTTAAAGCCCCAGGGCCTTGAATGCAGCCTGAGGCAGAAAGAGCCAAGAGCTGCAACTCTGAAGGTCTACTCTGTCAAGGCGCTTAGGGGACCGAAGGGTTTAGGGTTTGGGGGTCAGGGTTTGGGGTTTAGGGGTTTAGGGGGTTTACCCAACAAATTCCAAAACCCCTTAATGAAGGAATATATCTCCAATCATGATAGGATCCTTGATTTGATTTGCGGTACATTCCTTAATTGAGGGGCCTTGGGGTTTATAGTTGTGCTGTGCAGACGAACGTGGGAATGCCCCATCCCTCATCTAAACCTTAAATCTTATACACTGCCTGCGCTTCGGATCTTCGGAAAGGGAGTGCATAATAGGAGTTTCCGAAAATTTGGGGACCTTGTTATTTTGGGTTCCTTATAATAGGGATCCTAGGGGACTATATTAGGGTCTCTTATTTTCGGAACGTCCCATGTCAGCTTTACAAACAAGCGCTACACAGAACTCTAAACGCGAAACCGTAGTACCCAAGCCTTCACTTCAAGCCGCCCAAGCCCATTTCTAGGTCGATCACAGCCCTGACGTTCCTTTTGCACCTCCAAGCCCTAAACTTAGGGACCCAAAAAAGCACATAAGCATAAGCATTTTGCGGTGATATCCCTACCTTATTGGGCTTCATTATAAGGGGATTTATATGGGATATCCCTATTTAAATTTTTGCCTATGTGCCTTTTTGGGGCCCTATAAACGACCCAGGGGCCAGGAAAACCTGGAAGGTTCGGAATAACAGATTCGCTGGTATACTATAGAAATCCCAGGCCCCTTTGAACGTGTTTCGCTTGTTCTTTTTAACCCTTATAAACCCCCATACCAAAAAACCGTGACACATCTGCAAGAAATCACAGGCCAAAGCTTTAATGTTGGACAAGCAGTCCTTCGAGATGCTCTTGGGCCCACTGGAGGCAGGGTTGTGAGGGCTTCAAGCAGTTTGGGGTTGGTTTTCTTGCAGGGACTTTGAGGGAGTCTAGGTTGTTGTGTTTTTTGGAAGGGGGGGGGGGGGGGGCTTTAGGGCCTGAAGACTTTCAGGGTTTAGGGTTTGGGGTTTCCGAAGGCTGCAAATCAGGGGTTTGCTTGAGGTTGCAAGGGGAGCTTCAAGAAAGCTCAGGGTTCACGATGCATGCTGAGAATACATACTAGTTACTAGCCTGCAGGAGTAGGGTCCAAGGTGTAGGATTTAGGGTGTAGGAGTGACGGTGGTGACATTGGGATCGGAGTTTGTTTCGGGCTTCATCAAAACACCTGGCATGGCTTACCAACTTCTGCTTGATTCTGTTTCCAAGAAAAATCAATCACCTGACCGGCTTCAAGCCTAGATGTTAACTTGGATAGAAGCCTGAATAGTGAGCAATGCTGTTTTGGGGGTTCCTTATTGTAGCTATGGTACTGTATACCCTAAAATGAATTCTAATTCTACTTACTAAGGCCCCTACATGAGCGCCTTTTGTATGTATACACTCCGTGTCCCTTCCAGCCCTCACGCAACGAGCTTAGACACACAACGCCGCAAGCATTCCGAGCGTTGCCCAGCAGCGACGAGGAGCTGCAAAGACGGCCTAAAGGTGGCAAGAGCAAACTCCAGGACGGGAGCCACTTTGGGGAAGTTGCGGGGTAGAGAGTCCGGTGAAAGTTTCGAGCCTTCAGCAGTTGACAAGACGGCCCATGATTCTTTTTGGATTTCGATTTCATGATCGACGGCTGCTCAGAGACTGAACCCTAAGCCCCAACTCCGACCCTGAAATCAAAGCTGTCACTCCCGCTCGGCCATGAGCCCCCAAGCACTAAGCCTTGTGCTTGGGGCTCATGTACCTTTGCAGTACCCTGAAAACCCGAAAGGAACAACCTGGCAGCGCCCTTCTGCGGAAGAGCCGCTTCGGGAAGATCAAGCGGAAGGCTGGGTTTCAGAGGGTTCCCTGGGGAGCTTAGATGGTTGAAGAAGTTGACTTGGGTTTTAGGGCTTGAGTCTTAAAGAGACGTTAGATGTAGGGTGTAAGCTTAAGGCGTCAGAGATTGGGGTTTCAGGTTTAAGGTTGGAAAACTATTCTGATGGAGGACTTTCGGATGTAGAGTTGGGTTTTGAGCGCTAAGGCAAGACAGGCTTTCGTCAGTGAGGGGGTGGCCTTTTGCGTGTTGTGGGAAGCTACATGTTCTAAGGGTTGCCGGCTATCCGTTGTCGGAGTCTACTATAATTCGGTATGGCACAGTAACAACAGAGTACTCTAGACTACAATGTGATGCAATTGGTATAATGTTTTTTAAATCTAATCTACTCTTCGGTGGCCTAAGAATTCTGCACACATTCCTTGATTGAGAGCAGACCAATGCTAGTATGTATGATAAAACACGAAACGACTATGGATGTTCCTTGGAGCACTTTGGAGACACATGGCGCAAGGCAAAGTTCAGACTTTTGGACACGTATTGGATCCTCTATAGTTCTAGTTGCATTCAATGCGAACCAATTGACACCCAGAGCGCCCACCAGAAGGCGGCCAGGCAAGCCCAAAGCGGATTGGACGGTCTTTCGAGACTCCGAAACCCATTGAACAAGCAAGCAGCGACTCCTTGAAGTGCTACGTGGGGTCCGGTGATAAAGGATCCTTAAGCAAGTACCACTGCATCCAAAACCTTAAAACCCCAACCCTACTTGGAGGATCATGGGACTTAGTAAGCAAGATTATAAGTACGCTAATTGGGGTTATAAGTATAGTTACCCTAATTATATCCCTAGTTACTAAGTCCCATGATCCTTTAAGTATCTTTGCAGGACCTCAAAGTCCTGGGCTTGTTGGGCTGCGGTGGCTTCGGCGCGGTTGAACCTCGGCGACAGAATTAATTAGGTTCAGGATACTTAAAAAACGGACTTAGTCTGCACCCAGACGAAGAACCCCTCCAAAATTTAAGTACATGGCCGTAGGCAAGTTTGTCTTTAAATGCTCTTAGGGCTCCTAACCTCAGGACGCTAAACCCTGAACCCTAAAGTGACAAACCCCTAAACCCGAAACCCTTTTAGCCCCTAGCTTCAAAAGCCCTAAACCCCGAAACCCTAAACCCCTAAACCCCGAAACCCTAAACCCTTTCAGCTCCTGGCCCTAGGAGCTCGTGGAGCATGAAAAAACGGGCAACACCTATGCCCTAAAGGCCGCCCCATGGGATGACTTCGACAAAGCTGCGACTGTTTAGGGTTTAGCGTTTAGGATTCGGGTTTTGGGTCCAGGGTTCATGGCCTAGTGGAATGGACTTTTCTGTTTCCTTTCGAATCCCTATTGAGGTATCTGCCCACTGTTAGTGCTAGCCACGGGTAACAATAGTAATGATGATCGCAAATGTACCAGTACACCGCTGGATAAGGTAGTTCCAACCACGACTTGTGCTGATGTTGCTTGCTTTCCTTCTTGTTTTTTAGTGCTTTGTCTTACAGCCTTGTCAAGCAGGCTTCAGGCGGAGCCCATTTCGAAATACCATTCTGCTGCAGGCTCGCTATTCCATCATTGTAGAACCTCCCCCCTTCCACCGGAAAGAAGCCGTGCTTTCTGCGTTTCTCGTCCCAAAGCCTGATTTGCGTTTGAGTTTCAGCTTGCGCAGAAAAGCAGGCGACATCTCACAGTTCTTGAAGTGTCGTATGATTGAACGTGTTTTACTTTAGTGTTCTGTGCTAGTCTTGTAGCAGATGGGTTTTCAGGTACAGGTCTTGCCCAGGTTTGCTGCAGGTATGTCCTTGAATGGCAGGATCGGCCAGCAATGTGGCTGTGAGGGAAGTAAGTACGAAAACTCACAGCCTTATCTGCCCATGCTTAGGCTTAGGCAAGAGCTAAGACAGGAAGTTCAACAGCCTCATACTCAAACCACCCAGAGCCTGGTTAAGTTTTTGACATACCTTGGCAGGTTGTAGGATTCAGAGTTCGGGGCTACCTCATACTGCGATCCCCTACCTTGGTGTAAGGTCCCCGTAAACTCTAGTGTAAGGTTTACATTGAGAAATGGCCGTTTCTGACATGAGCAGTATCAAGTTGGTTCGGTTCGTATTCGTTTCTTTTTTCCGGGGGTCCAAAGTTGTGGGACGAGCAGACAGTGACACATACTGTGTAGACCGTTAGAAGCTCGTAGGTCCAGGGCTTTTCAGCTTTAGTGTCCGATCTATGAAGCCCTCAAGGATGCCGCACTGTAATGGTCAAAGTGAGCTTAGACTTCTCCAGGTAGCTTAGGGGTAGCCCTAATGTCGAGCACTCAAACCTGATTCGTTTGGAGCCTGTGTTGAGCACGTTGCGTCTTTGAGCATATTCAATATGCACTCCATGATGCAGTGTCGGTCACCACCTTTCTCCCAAATGCTTCGCGTCTGGAGACCTTCCGGGCAAGAGCTGGTTGGTTGTAGCGCGGAGGAATTCAAGGATGCAGCGTCCTTGAAGGAGCATTTGTGCGAACTCTGTGGTTTTCCCGTGTATTTGCAGCAGCTTTTACATGATGGGAATGTCCTGGGCGACGGCACCGAACTGGATGCCCCCATGGATTTGCAGCTGGTGCTGCTCACCATCTCCGACGGTAGTATTTTTCGTTTAGCAAGAGCAGATTTCGCAGATGCTGCTCGACGAAACTGTGATCAAATGGTCCGTTGTTTGCTCGAGGCTGGTGTTGATAAAGATATCCGCACGGACGGCGCGACAGCCCTGATGCTTGCGTCTGATCCTGGTCACGTGGAGGTTGTACGTGTGCTGCTGAAAGCTGGTGCTGAGAAAGAGTGCACAGATCATCGCGGCATGACAGCTCTGATGCTCGCATCTGACAGTGGTCACGCGGAGGTTGCGCGTTTGCTTTTGGAAGCTGGTGCGGATAAAGACTGCCGGGGGCGTGTCGGAAAGACAGCCCTAATGCTCGCATCTGAGAGGGGGCACTTGGAGGTTACTCGTGTGCTTGTGGAGGCTGGTGTTGACAAAGAATGCCGGGGTCGTGGCGGACAGACAGCCCTCATGCTCGCATCTGAGAAGGGTCACTTGGGGGTGTCACGTTTGCTGCTGGAAGCCGGTGCTTGTCGAAATTGCTGGGACAATGCCACCCGCCACACAGCCCTGATGCTTGCATCTGATCGTGGTCACGTGGAGGTTGCACGCTTGCTGTTGGAATCTCGTGCTGTGACAGACTGCACAGAAAGTCATGGCAAGACAGCCCTAATGTTGGCATCCGAGAGTGGCCACTTGGAGGTCGTGCGCTTGTTGCTGGAAGCTGGTGCGGCAAGAGACTGCACAGAACATGACGGCAATACGGGTCTAATGCTCGCATCCGAAAAGGGTCATTTCGAGATTGCACGTTTGATGCTTCACGCTGGTGCTCCAAAAGATTGGGCAAACGAGTTCGGCTTCACAGGCCGAATGCTCGCATCCGAAAGTGGTCACTTGGAGGTCGCGCGGTTACTGCAAAGAGCCGGTGCCGCCGGTGACGACCGTTCCAATGCACGCATCTCTGGCTTTGCTCGTCTGCTCCTCCATGCAGTGCTGTGAAAGATTGATTCCTGTGGCCGCAACTCCATAGCAGGCCCGACGCCTCTTTTGGCAAGCCTCGATCATGACCCTGGGCCCCTGAACCACCACCCAGTTTCCGAAACTTTAACTGATTACTTTTGCATAGAAGACCCTCGCCCCTTAATTCAAACGTAAGCGCACAACCAGATTCACTGCATTCAGCATCAAACCCAGATTTTGTCTGAAACTGGCATGCCCGGCTGAGTAGGGTTGGGAGTTGGGGTCCCCGGTCTCGATTTAGGCCGACTTCCCAATTTCAGTTGGATGAGTGCATCTGTTTGTTAGTCTGTCCGCTTGTTTGGTGGTATGTTGGGAACACAAGTACAGCATTCGGGACCATCCGTTTCCGTCATTTGGAAAGGAGACACGAAGACAGGTGTAGATACGCCCTACGACTTGCGATCTGACCTTCAGCGCAGGCTCTGAGCAAGGGCTTCGTGGTAAAGTCTGGCATGCAGAAGAGTGTGATGAGCTACTGGGATGCAGACACTCAGAAAGGTTTGAAGCTTAGAGCTGATCTTGGTGTCGGGTGCAAGTGGCTGCGGAGACTAGTTGCACAGACAATATTGAGAAGGGTAGAAGTCGCTGGGCCAAGGAGCCGTACTTAAATCTTCAACCCATATAGATCCCACGCGAAAGATCGGTAAAGCAAGGGTTAACTATAAGCCCAAGGTCACGGGTTTACATCTTCGGGATGGTTCGGGTGTGACTTCATGCTTGACAAGAACGTGAGCGCGGCGTTTCCGGTCGATGGTGGGGTTGAAAGTCTGAGCTCGTCGGCGCAAGGGCACGCTGATTAAATTAAGGTGGGTCCAAGTAATAATATGGCACTTAGTATGGTATATACGCAGGGAGCTCAAAGACCCACGCAGTACAGGCTAGAACGGTACTTGGACCCTTGGGGTGATCTGCTGGTAATATAGGGGCCTAAATAAATGCCCAGACTTTAGTGGGGAGTCCTTATCATAATTAAGGCCCCTACATAGTAAATCTGGGCTGTTGCTTTTGTAATGAAACCGGTTTTGGAACGGTCAAATCCAACTTTGCCTAAATACTTAGTAACGTGAATCTTCCCAGTCTTCCTTATTATAGTATTAATCAGTATAAAATATCCCTACAGCCCTATTCTAATTATTGAGGCCCGTTCCTGACAGATATTCATGATTTTCATGCCTCAACGAAAGGCGAGCGTGACGTGCAGCTGGCCTGCGACTCCTCGTTCATCATCAAGGTGTCCTGATGACCTGGGAACGTGTTTTTTTGTCTTCGTTTTGCCGCAGAACAGTGGGAGTTAGGATTAGGGGGACCCTTGGGCATATAGACCCTCTCAATAAGGCCCCTTTTAAGAGAGGCAGAAGTAGGGTTCAGAAGGGGTACCCTTTAAGGGGTCCCCCTAAGAATACTACCCAAACAGGGCCTCCTCCTCGGCATCAGAAGCCAGGACTTGCAATGGACATGGGATGTAAAACCCCCCAACTTGCTTAAGGCCGTTCCTCAGGAGCCTCAACACCACACCTTCAGACGATAGGTTGTCTGTCTGGCTCTTAGCAGGGAATGGGGGAATGGATTTTGGAGACTATCATTGAGGATTATCTAGGGACTACTATAGGGATCCATTCCTCCATTCCCTACTGAGCACCAGAAGCTTGTTTAGCAGCCAAGGTCTACGAGACCTTCAACAGCCTTTTGCTCAGCGTTCTTGGCGAGGGCTCGCCTGGAGATGCTTTTAGGGCTTTGGAGTTATGGACTTGCTGAATCGAGTTAGTCAGTCGGTTATGGATAGGAATCGAATTAGGACTGCTCATAATTCTGCTTTTCACCGACCTACCAACTGCTTGATCTCCATCCCACGACAGTACCCTACACCATAAACTGCAACCGCTGTTTGGGGATACCTCAAACCAAAGCATCAAATCTTCTGTTTCGTGTTAAGTTTACGGGGTCGTAGTCAAGCGATGTTTCTCGATCGTATCCATGAGCCGGCACCCTGAAACCTGAAACCCGAGACGGCAAAGCCTTGCTCGTTCAATCGTTTAGATCCACGGATTTTGTGGCTGCTTGCAGCTCACGGTGGAGAGACCTCGGGGTACAGTGTCTATAAGTTGAATGCAAAACCTTCCCCAGACTCCGTAAACCCAGGCCCTGATGCAGAACCACGGGGTCAAACACAGAAAAAAGAGCTGGCCTTTTGTTTAGCACAGGGCGACTCAAGCTAGCTCCCTTAGGTCCGCAGGAGCACAACAACGTGCATGCCAAGGTTCGGAGCATTTGTACTTTCTGTTGGAGTGTGCACTGGGCGGCGAGCTCTACGCAGCTTGGTTGCCAAGACGTATCCTTACAGTGCCTTACAGATGTGGCTCAGAATCGCTGTGTTCCCCCAAACCGTTACACCTAGACTCTTAGCTGCATGCTTATCCATGTGCTTCCGCCTGTTCCAAACGTGAACTCGCCAGATCTTAAATGAAAAGTCTAAATCAACAGGCTTACCCCGAGCCCCGAAGCCTCAACGGGAACTCGAAAAAAGCGAAAACGCCATGGACATGTTAAACCCCAAACCTATCAGGAGTTCAGGCTCGAAGAAGATCGCATCAGTTGTTCAACGTCAATGTTCGACCTTCGAGTACGGGAACTTGGGAGATAGCACTGCGTTGAGTTTCTTCCGCTGCTTCGTTCTCAAACTTGAATCGGACCATGGAAGTCCAACCCTACTTAAGCGGTTTCCGGATATGGGGTGGGCAAGTTTAGGGTTCACTGAGCATGATCTCCGAGCCCAAACGGCTATGAAACAGCTCTGCTTCGTCTCGAGGCAACCTACAACAAGAAAGGTCTCACGGGCAAGGAGGGCCATGCAAAGTTCTACGTGGCCGGAGTCGCTTCATGACTGTCACTTTTGCCGGGGCATCGTGATCAACCTTGAACCCTGAAGAGGCCCCAAACTCCAAACCCGAAACCCTATTGCTTTGCTGCCTGCCGCCTGGCTCAGGAAGATCATTGACGATTTTCCAGGGCTGCACTCTAGTGTGCCGAGACCCCGCAACCCCCACTTCCCATGCGCACCTCCAAACCCCGAACCTACCGGATCACACTCCTGTGCAAACAAGCCGAATTAACTATCTCAACCTCCTCAACCCCTTAAAACCCTAAACCTAAGGCTGTGAAGCAAACCCAAGCAAATCGAAGCCCGTCCGCCGCGACTGGGTTTAAGGTTGAGCATGACCCCGCGCAGGTGGTGAGAAGCTGTGTCGATGATGATGACCACGACAGTCATCGCAATTGTACGAGTCAATGAAACTGCGACGTTGATGATGGTTATCATGATGACCACGAGTGTGATAATGGCTATGACGATGATGAGGATTACTATGTTGCTGGAGTTGATGATGCTGACTGATGATTATGATGATGACGATGGTTATGATGAAGCTGGTGGTGATGATGAAGATGATGATCGTGGTGGTGATGATGGCGGTGGTGGTGCTTGTGAGATGGAGGGAAAGTATGGTCAGAGGGGATCACGCGGATGAGAGCCAAGACCATGCTGGCGACGGTGATGGCAGAGAGAGACGGTGGCTATCACGATGACAGTTATGATGACCATGGTGATGGTGAGCAAGGGGATGAATGTGACGCAGATGCTAGTTGGGATGCGGTTGAGGATGAGGATACCGATGATAGTGTTGATGGTGACAGTGGTGATGGTGTTGTTGATATTGATGCTGAGAAGGAAGATGCAGATGGCCATGAAGAGGAACACGATAAAACATGGTAAGCAAGGCAACGATGATGAGGATGATGACGGTATGCCAGCGAGATCTTGGCGACGATGGTGAAGGCGATGAAGTTGATTGATGGCTAGACGGTGTGATTGTCATAGTGATGCTGAACATGTGCAGTTTTGATTTCGGCTATGTTGGTGGAGATGGTCAATGACGAAGACATCCATGCGATGATGCGGACGGTTGCTGATTCTGACGATGAGGAATGAGATGATGATGAAGGAGACGATAATCATGAAGACTTTTTCACTTTGACGACGATGGTAATGCTGATGATGATCATGATGATGATGATGATGCTTCGCGATGATGATGTGACGTTGGTGATAATGATGACGACGATGATGATGATGGTGATTTACACGATGATGACGCACTAGATTTTGCAGCAATGACGATGAAAGAGGAAGCAGCGTGTGACGAGGATGATTGCAGTCAGCATGGTAAGGATGGTGCTGACAATAGGGAAAGAGTTTAGTGATGACGACGACGGTGGCGATGTCAACGGCGATTGTGATTTAGATGCTAGGTATGCTCATGATTACGGCGGCGAAAATTTCGATGATGATAACAGCGACTGTTCAGATAAGATGGCGATGTCTGTACTATAAATATAAACGCATTGGCAGTAGTAAAATAAGCCGGTTCTATTCAGAGAAGCTGCAGAAGAACTTCCAAAGCCAAGGTTGTTGCCTTCGAGCACTTGCACAGTTACCTGGTTTGCATCTACGCATCATATTTTGCGGTGCTGGACGGCCGTTCAGAAACCAGCCTGCATGGCCTCAGTCTGGTGCTGCTTTTTGCCGCCAAAAGTTGACTCGATCCCCGAAACTCTCAGCCGCATTCTTCCAGCGGTTTTTGTAACGACTGGCGAATACAAAACCCTGTCGTCCTTCACACTGTCCTTGAGGATCGACGCAGTAGGGTAGGAGTCTCAAAAAGTCGCGGACCCCATGTAGATCCTGAATTGTGAGATCCGTGATTAACAGATACCCCTCAGCAAGGAAGCACCTGCAGTTGTACGCAATTGTTAGAACCCTAAACTTGTCATGAACATTTCACACGCCCTCCAAGTCCATGACCAACCTCTTATGAAACCCTGACAGAACCGTCCTCTAATGCTCCCCTCTGAGGCAAGAAGATCGTGTTCCGAGATCTGAAGCCAGAGTCCCGCGGACAGCAATAATCCGGGGGAGCCTAAGACCATTCCCCTTCTTCTCCTACTCCCCCAGTCTAAACCCACCCCAAACCTTGAACTCCAAACCCTAAAGCACGAGATGCATCCCTAACCCTGCAGGCTGAAACGATGAACCCTAACAAAGCTTGAAACAATCAGAGGTAAATCCAGATCAGATACAAACAGTGCATAAATCGCCGCAACTCACACCCCCACCCTAGACCCCCCCACACCCAAGACCCTTCGCTCCGCCCCAACAAACAAAAGTTCACAGCCCAAACCCGCCCTACACCAACACCCACCAAATCCTATGCCCAAAGGCCCCTCCGAAAACACATACACACCCATCCTACACCCCCGAACACACCGCAAAGCCCTCAAGCACTCTGTGTATTGAAACCCGAACCGAGCGCCCTGTTTGCAGAAACCTGCTCCTCAACGACCACGGCCACCTGAAGCTGACCGACATGGGTTTGGCCAAGGTCCGGGACCCTAAACCCTAAACCCCGTCCTGAGGATAGTGTTCGAGATTGCTTGGATTTCGTAGGGGGTTGCAAGGCTTTTGTTTGGTTTTTCTGGCTGGGTTCCACAACTGAAGGGCTCTCATGATTTCGCAGGGTTTGGTGGCATGGTGCCTCAGGGTTTAGGGTGTAGGACAGGGTTCTGAGAGTTTTGAGGACGTGAATGAGGTGGTCGCCGAGAATATTTGGAGTTGCAGGCTTTTGCTGTAGAGTGGGCCCTTAGGCCTCTTGTGTTGTGGACTTGGAGTTTAGGTCGGGCGTGAGGGCTTCGAACATGTTGAGGGTGGAGTCGAAGGGTTAAAGGTTTCAGGAAGGAGAAATGCAAGTCAGGAAGCGCAGGGATCGGGTGCTTAGTTAGGGCTTAAGGCTTTACTGTAGGATGCACGGCTTGGTGCGAGGATGTTAGTGCCTGGATCACACAGGAGTGAAGAAGATTAAGATAGGCTTGGGGACGAGCATCGCGATGTGTCTAGATGGTTGAGGCTTGCGGCAGGCAGATTGTTGCAGACCTGCAGCTGTTCAGAGGCCCCATAGTAGTTCCTCTTGGATTCTAAATAATATGAACCCCGAAAGGAACTACTATGGGGCCTATAGGTATGGTATAGGTAGTTCAACCGAGCAGATGGCAAGACTGGATTAGCACAGGCCCAGATAGGGTTCGAAGCAAGGCTGCCATGTCAAGAGGATGGAGGACACATGAAGCTCGCAAGTCTTTCGTGAAATTTGAACCCACACCATGGCCTTAAAGTGGTGCCCCTGATGGTTTGGTTTTGCTTTCTGGGTTGCCATGCACAAATCAGTCTCGTCAAAATGGCCCAAGCCATGCCTTCGATGCCCGTGAGTTGAAGGACAGCAAAACAACACTTTCAACCGCTTTATCCTGTAACATGAACCTTGGCAGGTTTTGAGAGCCGGTACCCAACAACAAACAGTGTCAAACAAGTCAGCATGCGAAGGCTTCTTCTCACATGTATCACCCAAACATCGAGAATGACCACAAGCACGATGAGAAAGATATAGGGGCCAAAATAATTACCAACACTATTGTGGGAGTTCCTTATTGTAACTGTAATTTAATGGGCCTCAAAACCCTATTCTAAATATTAAGGCCCCTATATTAAGAGCTCTGTCAGCAGCAACCCTAGTAGCAAAAGCCCTGGCCCTCCTGCCCGAAAGCACCTCGGATTCAGGTGGTCATTGGCAAGACCTTTACCACATGTCTTCTTGGCCGCATATACATCTATAAATGCATGTATATAACTATGAATCAGCTAGTATTAGCATTTGCACTCTTATGGCCGTGCTAGCTATTGCTATCCCTACTAGTATTACTGCTATTCCTACTAGTATTGCTGCAATTCCTATTAGTATCACTGCTATTTCCATTAGTATGACTGCCATTACGACTACGAGTGCTAATACTCTTACGTTACTATTACCAGCACTAACTACTGGCATGGTTCTTTCTATTGCGATGATTGTTGCACATACTAATATCATTGCTCTTGCCATTGCTATTGCTATTGCCATTACCATTGTGCTACGATTACTTTTGCGATTACCATTGCTAATGCTATTACTAACTGATTTCTATGACTAACACTATTACGATAACTATGACTGTCACTAGTACTAGTTACTAGTACTAAGACTATAACTAGTACTATTGTTGTTGCTATTGCCAATACCACCACCATTACTCTGACTAGATATTGTTGTTATTGTTGTTGTCATGGCTATCGGATGTATTTTAGATTGTTTTGTGAAAACGCCTAGGCCTTCAAGGTCTGTAAAAAGATTCAGTGCACAGGCCCTTGAAACTTCTCACTTGGGCGCTTATGCCTCCCGAAGCCACTGCAGCGAGGTGGCACTCCAGATTATTTTGCGCCCGAGATGATTGCGCCTTACTTGAAATTCTGTAACAATGTGGCATCGTAGCTATGTTCGTCGCTTCTGGGCATCATGAGCAGCGGTTCAGGCTCTCTCTGGAAACACGCAGGTATATGGCATATGGCTTTGAGCTTTGGATCTACGTTCAAGGGTTTCCCGAGATGCCTGTGATAAGAACCCTCACAAAACAATGGCACTGTTGGAAACTACTCGTAAGCTGCATGCTGTTTCCCGATCAGGCCTCTAAGGGGCACACCTTGGCCGTCGACTGGTGGACCTTGGGGGTTTTGGGCTACGAGCTCATGTGCGGGCCGCTTGGAGAAGCTCAAGTGTTCAGCTGTTTCTTCAGGACTTCAGCATGGTTCTCGAACCCGAAAGCTTCAACCCTCGGACTGTAATGGTTTGATGGACCTTTGAGCCCCAATTTTTTTCCAAGGGGCGTTTGGTCGCAGGGCTGAGGGTGTTTCCTCGTCCTGGACTGCCTCTACCCCAATGCTTAGCTCCACACTGGTTTCCGATGATTACTCCCCGAATTGGCAAACTTTTTCCCCTCCTTCTGTCTGTAAGCGCCATTCATGCCACACAGGGAGCCTTCAAAATCAACCTCGGAGTCTGCAACAGGGAGTTGAGAAGTAGAGTTTAGCCCGTATCTGCAATGGTGAGAGAGGGGAGCTGAACCGTGACTTCTGTCGCAATGCACGGAATTCCGAGCTTGAGGCAGATGTTGAGATGTTTGGGTGGAGCGCACAGGTAGTAAGGGGTTTCTCGAGAAATACGAATCGCCCTGAAGGCCCTGAATCCTTAGAGTAATACAGGGGCCTCAATAACTACCAAAACTGTTTTGGTCGTTCCTTATTATAAGAATCGCATAATGGGCCCCACAACCCCCCTTTTGATTATTAAGGCCCCTCCACTAAGCTCTGTAAAACCTGCTGAAACTCTCCAAGCTGGATTTTCTGATTCTATAGATCGGCAAAAAGCACAACTTCAGGAACCCGCCTTTCGAAGCTGAGCAAGTTATGCAGACGTACCAGAAGGCCGGCTGACTAGGTTTGAAGGCTCGGCGTCTCGAGTAAACGGTTGAGGAGGTTTGGGGATCTTTGACACCCCCCCAGCTTCCGATGTTGAGGCTTTGGGGCAAGGGTTAGTAGGGGTTTAGGGTTTGGGAAGTTTGGGGTTTAGGGCTAGAGCTTGAAGATCACCAAACCAGAACTCGTCTTGCACTTGGGGTTTCAGGTTTCTTTCGCTCGGGATACCTGGTTCAAATGATACCATTTCGTAGCCGCACTACCCACTCTTCATATTAAAAACTCGGCTACTGTAGGGGCCTACATGATTACTAATACTATTCTTGGGGGGCTCCTGATTAGAATTACAGTATCATATACCCCAAAACCCTACGTTAATTATTAAGGCACCTATATTGGAATGAGCCCCATTATCCCAAAACTGCAAACCCCAAGTCTGTTTACGATCTCAGAGTTCCGACTTCAGCTCTTCGGCTAGTCAAGAAAGCTCCAGTCTTGGGGCTTAGGATTTTGGGATTTAGGGTTTCAGGGTTTAGGGTTTCAGGGTTTGGGGTAGGGTTTCAGGGTTTAGGGTTTCAGGGTTTAGGGTTTCAGGGTTTGGGGTTTCAGGGTGTAGGGTTTCAGGGTTTAGGGTTTCAGGGTTTAGGGCTTCAGGGTTTCAGGGTTTAGGGTTTCAGGGTTTAGGGTTTAGGGTTTCAGTGTTTAGGGTTTCGACTGCCGCAAAAACTTGTCATCGAACTGTTACAGGAAGGCTGTGTAAGCTCATCCTTAGTTCATGCCGTGTGCACGGTGTACAGGGGCGCTGCTTGCGCTGCGGGCTTGAGGTTTTAAGGACTATAGGGTTTAAAGGGTTCGGGGTTCAACGTTTCAGGTTTCGGTCGTAAACAGACTCTCCGTGAACGCCCCCTGCAGATCAAGAAGGGGATCGCGCAGGCAGGGCCGCTGACACTCCACCTGACTTTGGCTTCAGGATTTGAGTTTGTTGGACTTCCCAAGCATAGTGCGACACGCAAAAACCAAGCCGAAAGCAACATGCTCCAATCCGCGCAACCTGAAGCCCCAAGACCCAAAACTCTTTAGCTTCGCACATAAGCCGAACACCAGTAATGTAGGGGCCCAACAAGATTACTAATACTATTTTGGGTTTTCCTTGATAGTATTATCAGTGTAGTATAATGCGCCCCAAAACCCTATTCTAATTATTAGGGCCCCCATATTAACTTCCTAGGTTCAATCCAAGGGTCGCCCGAAGCCCGAAGATAAGGGCCCTGCAGTGTGCAACCCCATGCAAGAGCACGAGATACAGTTACTTGTTGGCAAGGACGCACACCAAGAGGCAAGAATTCGTGGGCTCGAGCTGGACATTCAAGATCATGTCGCCCGGTAGACAAGATCCAGTATGGGCATAGAAGGGCTACAGCGTACTGCGGATCGAATCTTGTCACCTAGCTTTGCACCATATATAAACTGTGAAACATAAGCCTTAAACTCAAGAACGGGACGCACTTCTGATTCAGAAGCATCGCCGATCTCAGAATAGATGCTGAGTCGCAACCCTAGTCAGGCCTAAAGCTGACAACTAACCACACGCCGGCAACTAACATAAAACAAGGGCGCCCGAATACTTAGGCAATAGTCTTCTTTTTGTAGTCCTCAATATAATTCTACCGCAACATACCCCCCCCCCCAAACCCATTCTGACGATTAGGGCCCTATGTTATGCACGCGCTCCCAGCAAAGTAATTGCTAGGGTCTAGGGTTTCAGGGTTTAGGGTTCAAGGTTTTGAGTACTTCCTGCAAGCCCGCGAGAACGGCACGAGACAGCAAGCGAACACAAGACGAAGCAAGGACGTGATGCATGTCATACGTTCTCACCCTAAGCCCCAACTCCCCCATGTCTAAAGCCCAAGCCTAAACCCTAAACTTCCCTAAACCCTTAACCCTAAGCCCCAACTCCCCAAAGTCCAAAGCCCAAACCTAAACCTAAAACCCTAAGCCAACAGGTGGGCTTTCCACCACGGTGCCGAGGCTGGGCCCTCCAATTCGAGTTTACCTCCGCATTCCGGGTTTAGTTTTAAACTGGGGCCTAAATAGTTTCCAATACTATCTTAGGGGTTCCTTAGTGTAGTTATATGGTCCTGCACCCTAGGCCATACGCCACACAACGTCCGTATGGGCGCTCCGGTATAACGCACACATGAAGTTGCAAGAAACGCCTCAAAGCACAAAGCATTTTGTTTGGGTTTTTTCAATTCAAGTCTCGGATTTACGCTCTGGTGATGCAGGTCCAGGGAGAAGGTCTAGGACCATAAGCCACAACAGCCTTATAAATTTATGGATGAGCTTCCCCTAAACCGTAAACCCTTAAACCGCAAAACCGCAAATCCCCACGGATGAGCTTCAGCAGGTGAGCTGTAAAGCCCTATCTGACGCTCCACCCTCAACCCCAAGCTCCGAAACCTAAACCCCTAATCTATCAGTATTCTAGCAGCGGCGGCATGTGTAATAGTGTGTCATAGTGGCCTGCAGTAGTGGTGCATCGTACTTCCCTAAACCCTAAACCTCGTTGTGGAGGTCGCTGTGAAGACTTGATCAAGAACCTTTGCCAGAAAGATCCTTCTGAGAGGTTGCCGATGAGGCCGGGGCTTGAAAGCCGACCCCAATTCCCAAAGACGCAACTCGGAGGATGGCCCTAATTCCAAAAAGCTGAAGGGTTAAGGGTATTCAGGTTCAAAGATGGCCCCAAATCCAATACGTGAAACTGAAAGCTTAAACTCTTAAGTCTTCGAGCCCGAGTTCGAAAAACGGCCTTGGGAGTCTGTTCTAAGTTAAAGGGGCTTGGAGGTGGCTTCGCTTCATCAAGCTGTATCACCAATACCAAGAACCAAGAACGGTTTTAGGAGCATTAGTGATCTAACCCTGAGTAAGTACCCTAAAAAAACCCACTGCACCTCAAAACAAAAAAACCTAAACCCTGAAGCCTGATAATGAAAATTATCATGGCTTAGGGTTTCGCAGGCCACGGAAGGGCCTTGGGCTCCTGGTTCTTTGGAATTCAGGGCGGCGCATGACTTCGGGCTTCCTGCTGCAACAGGTTTCCCTGCTTAGCTTGTTTTCTAGTTGGGCGTTTTTTTTTTTTTTCAAAATTATGGTCCCTTTTGCCTGGACATTAGAGCAGCCCGCAGATTCTTGCGCGAAAGCAGAAATTTCGTCCCTCCGGCCTCGCCTCTACAGAAGCTGTAAACCTACACGACGATCAAGTCCAAGCCACGATGTTTCGGCTATACGGGATTCCACTGCTCCCATGTGGGCTGTAATTCCGTACTTGGACAACCTCAAAGAAGTCAAGACACAGCCCGAATCTAAACTCCGTGTTTCCGAATCCCTGCCGATACTACTCCGTGTGGCTGTGACGTGAAATTGGGTACCCTAAATATTTGGTGCCGTATTACAATAAGGACCAAAAAGAGACCACGATTTTGACAACCACCCAGTTGGCAGCTATTCCGCGTGCTTTAATAACTGAGTAACTCTAGTCGTGCAGCTGCACCCAAGGCCTAAACCTCCCCCTTCCTGACCTGCGGCAGCCGAAGCCGAGCCTGATCTCTAAACCGCCCGCCCTTGAGTTGCTTCGATTCGTGGTAGTAGTGAGTGCATCAGAAGTGTGGCGCTAGCATCAGTAGCAAGACTGCGCTTAACGGCAATCTTAACATTGAGGCATGATATAGCCATGATTAGCCATGTAACTCCTCAACTTCTCTAAACCTAAACCAGGTTCATACGAGAGGCAAAACGACTATTGTGACGGCAGAAACCATCGCCATCACTATCCTCATGACCTATCACATCCCCTCTATCATCACAATAGCAACAAATGACGACCAGCGTCAACAGCATCATGTTACGTCGTCACCATCGTGATCATGGCCATCCCATCACCTGCAACATCATCGTCACCCTGTTCCTTTTGCTCGTCATCATTTTCGCCGTGGCCGTTCTCGTGATAGTCAAAACCTTATTCACACATAGAACAGTATGGCAGCAGTAGTAACCATCAAGGCTCGCATGGTTATTGACATTGGCAGGAATATTTGAAACAAGCGGGGTGGTTCTTTGTCATAGTAGTACTCACTGTGCTGATCGCCGCAGCATAGCAAATCATGCTTATACCTGAAAGCCAAAGCGAAGACAGCAAGCTTCATGCAATGTGAGTATAAGTCAGAAGGTTTGGACTCCGGGGTACTGGTCCGAATTGCACGCAGCTTCGGGTGGATTGGACAGCTGTATAGCAATGGATGCTACCAGACCGAAGATTGAGCCTGTAACGTCGCAGCAAGTCGAAGGTTTCTAGCTATCTCTTCTTCAGGAGCGGTGGAACCGACAACATCAAGAAGCACATCTGGTATGAGGCCTGTCTGTCATTGCGCTCCGCACCAGCCGCCCACCCTACCTCCAACCCCCAACGCCGTTCTGCAACAATCGCCAAAGTCTACAATCGTATGGGCCAACATAAAAGCCCACGAGAACGCAGCAGCTGCCCGTACCGCCGCTGCTACTGCTGCTGCTGTTGTTGCGACGCCTTCTCGACTCAGACTCAACTCAGCACCCGCTTTTTCAGCAACAACCGCACGGACTGCTGCTGACGCCGAAGATGATGCTGGTATGCTGGTGCCGATGATGATGATGATGCTGATGCTGCTCCTGGTCCTGCTACTGCTGCTGCTGCTACTTCTGTTGCCAATTACTGCTACAAGTACTAGTAGTAGTAGTAGTAGTAGTAGTAGTAGTAGTAGTAGTAGTAGTAGTAGTAGTAGTAGTAGTAGTAGTAGCAGTAGCAGTAGTAGTAGTAGCAGTAGTAGTAGTACTACTACTACAACTCAAAGCCTTAACTCTCCAAACCTGAAGCTCGCCTCCCTCCCCTCCCAAAGCACGATGCTGTGGACTGAAAATATCGGGGCCTTAGTAATTGCCAATACTATTTTGGGGGCTTCCTTATCGTAATAGTATTAGAATGGGCCCCAGAACCCTATTGTAATTCTTAAGGCCCGTATATATTACTCAACAAGCTAGAAATCCCCAAGTCGGTCCTTCCGAAGCCAGGACTTTGACTGGCAGAGCTTTGAGTCACTGAAAATGGAGACGCCTTACAAGCCAGAGGTGCAACAAGGGTTCAAGGGTTTAGGGGTTTCGGGTCTAGGGGTTTAGGGTTTTAGGGTTTAGAGGTTTGGGGTTCAGGGTTTAGGGTTTAGGGGTTTAGGAGTTTAGGGTTTATGGGTTTAGGGTTTGGGTGTGGCAGTTCAGGATACTGATAACTTGCTACCTTGTTTTACAGAGGCACACTTGCTGCATCTGTGCATCGCCATGGTGCTGGATTTGATGTTCGTGCTTTAGGCTTCGGCATTCAGGGCTTCTGGGATTGGGGCTTCAAGGTTCAAGATGTGGCTCAGTTCGGGCTCAGACCTTCTAGCGTCGAGACGTTGATGTCCAAGCGGCTAGGATTTGGGGTATAAGGGCTTGCCTGCTTGGGGTTGGCAAGGTTAGCTCCAAGGATTTAGTGGTTTAAGGCTTGTGCATGTACGGTTTGCTATGCGAAGTCCAGATACGGAAAAGGTTGCAATAAAGCATCATAGAAACTTGCGACAGAAAAGGATGAGGCGACGTCGAGACAGATCCATGTTGGTTTCAGTTGTTGTTGTCTTCAGATGTCCTAGGTAGCTGGGTGGCAGCTGTTTGTGGTTCTTCAACTTTCACTGTGCTCCTGTAGTACGTTCTGCTTTAAGCGATCCTGTTTTGACTGCGCCGGTTTCGGTGATGTCGAGGTTGCGGGCTTCGTGTCGAAAAAAGCCCAAACTTGGCCCAAACCTACAACTCTACTACAGGGGCCGTACTCATTGCCTTTACTTTTCTGGGGTTCCTTATGACAATTATAGAATGAGGGGCCCAAAACCCTATTCTGATTATTTAGGCCCCAATATTACACCACGCCCACCCAAGCCATTCGTGTACTCCGGGTGTCTGCAGAGGCCTTCGAGGCTGAAGGCATGTCTGTTGGATTGATCTTGAACCTTCCAGTCTTTTGACCTCAAGCGACTCATGTGGGAGTTTCCGAAAATTCGGGGCACCTTATGTTGGGGTCCTTCTAATAAGCATCCTACTATTTAGGTTATTATTGGTTATTATATTAGGGTCCCCTATTTTCGGAAATTCCCATGTGGGAGACTTGTAGAGTTGAATTAGGGCTTAGGGTTGGTTGCTGTGAACGAGGCTCCGTTTCTTGTTGCTCCTATTCTTCCTTCTAAGGCCGGCGAACTCCAGCGAACCCTTGTTCCGTCAACCCAACCCGGACCCTCTTGACCCTAAACCCTACACCCCCATGCAGTATTGCCCATGTTGCACAATGAACACAGACAAATTCGTCTGCGTCCTTGTTTTCCCAAAGCGCTGACGTTAGGCAGTTCCTGCCAAGGTAAAGAGCAAAACGGACATTGCAAACTTCTCGGCGCGCGATGCGGATCGGCCGCCACAGGCAAGTTTCACGCAGCGTTGGGTCTGCAAGCCATAGCTGGAGAGCAAGCAAACCGCGCACGAGTTTCAAGATCACTCTGCATGTGGACGGTGCTAACTTATCAAACTAGTGACTAAGCTTTATAAGCTTTTTAGGTACTCCGAAAGCCTTTAGGGCTTTTTGCAACCTTGATTTTCGATGCCTAAGAAGGGCCGATGAGCGTTGCCTCCTTTGTAGAAGGGAGGGGAATGAGGAGAATCTTGGGATGGGCTGCCGTCCTGAAGTGCGGGAAAGCCCCACTGAAGCCCGAAAGTCCGACAGCACCGAACCTCAAACTAGGGTTTAGGATTTAAGTTTGAAGGTTCAGGATTTAGGTGTAAGGGCTTAGGGTTTAGGGTTTAGGGTTTAGGTTTAGGACTCAGAAGTAGATCCCATCAAGCCTTTGCGGGCTCAGAAGGCCATTCAGCGCAACCATTCAACGCAAGCACTTCGGCTTTAGCATCATCCCTTCACTGACACCGAGTAACTCCAGATCCTCCAATACCCAGGCCTTTTCCCAACTTTGAACTGCGTGATAAGCCGCTTGGGGTTCTTTGTGGGTTCTATAGGGCTTGAGGGTTTTAGGATTCTCGTTCAGCATTGTCTTTTGCCCTTAGGTTTGACATTGCATTAGGCTCAAGCACTTCGAAGCCAGACCGCAGGCTTAACGAAATATGCTACCACTGTTTTCATTACAATGTTGTCACGCGGTCATGTTCGAGTAGTTGACCGTTCGGCCATGCTTTCCCGAAAAGCTTCCCAAGCCCCAAGCATGCCAGAACATGCGTACTCTATGGATACAGTAGGACTCGGTTGTAGGGTCAGAAAGTCCAGGGATTGGTAACTTGGTAACTCTCAATCTGCAGCCCGCACCAGGTGAAGTACAAGGCCCTGCTTTATCCGGGCCTCTTTGGCTTCGGGGTCTACGGGGATAGAGTTCTATAACGATGCTAGGGTTCTATGAGGGTTACTATCATAGGCTTACTCGAAGGGGCTTGGCGGTTTTAGGGCGGACTCACATTTCTTCTTGCTTCGGGATTGGTCTGGGAAGCATTTGATTGTTTGGTTTCTTGTAAGTTCTTACTTTAACCGTGGAGTCCTTCTTGGCACATCGCATTCACGCGTTTCGGATAGAATGCCTTACAGGACTGAAGAGTATGGTTTAGCGCGGTGCAGATTGGGCATTTTGCATTTGCATCCCGTCTAGATGGAAACCATCATGGTCCGAGGTGCCGATTTAGATGCAGGTTTGTCAGGGCGAGCCGTTCTTGTTTGCGGGACGCCAGGATGAAGGCCTATCATACTGATTGTAATATCGCCAAGCCCGCAGCCCTGTGTATCACAGGACGACGGAAGCGGATGGGATGCCAGTTTTGCCACGTCCGAGTGATGCTGAAGGCACGGCCGTGGCGGAGAATTGGCTCCGGCACACGACTTAGAAGACTCAACGGCACATTGTCCCCGGTTTTCTGCTTGGAGCCACTGCACTTTCAGCCTGAGACGTACACACCGATGCTAATTTAGTCAGGTCAGTCATTTCTATCCACTGGCCAGTGGCTCATGCGATCGTCGAAGAAAGGCCGAGCACGACCATGTCGCATCGGCTGGTCTGTAAACGACCTCGGGTTGAGGTCCAGGCTCTTCGGTTGTGGGTTGCGGGCTACCGTCTGCAAGTTGAGGCAACGCCTCAATCGGTTCAGGATCTCAACACTTCACCAAGTCGGTCAACACAACCAGAACTTGAATCTAAAACCCTAAACCCTAAACCCTAATAAATTAGGTACGATGATTTCGGGCCTTTCGGGCTTTACCCGACATTCGAGCAGGAATACCTGCCCCTGAACCCTGAAGCCTTGGTAATTACTGATACCAGTATTAGCAGCAGAGTCGTCGTAAGTAGTACTAAGAAGTAAATAGTAGGCAGTACCAAGTCGTAGTAAGCAGTACTCTTTCCTTGGTAGTAGGTACGTGTATGTAGGTAGCAGGCAGAAGGCAGTCTGTAGTAGGTAGTAACGGGTAGTAGTTAGCAGTTCCTACTTAGCAGGTTGGTGCTGGTAGCAAGAGATACATAGTAAGTAGGTAGTATGTAGTATTCACTACATGACTAGTTCTATAGCAGGAACTAGTGGTGGTGAAGCAGCTGCAGTCGTAGAAATAGACCGACAACGCCAGCGAAAAGCAATAGTGTCGCGTTGCACATGTCACATGTCGTGAACCCTACAGGCTATACCCTAAACATCCCCAGACCCTAAAGAGGACAGTTCGAGGCTACAACCCGCACCGTGAAATGTACAGTAGTAGAGCTGCTCTCTCCCAAGTCTTCAGATGCTCGCAAAGTCGAGCTTCAAGCGGGGTTTCTCACAACCTCGCGGCATTCATTCCTTAAGGTATCTCTAGTCTAGCCTAGCACCGTCATAAACACTAGTCACTAGTCTCTATTCGACACACAAGTGAAGTTGAGACCATCGGGGTATGGCCCTCGCTTTGATCCGAGGGCCGCGTCCACGACGCAGGCATGGTAATGAACAAAGTGGTTTAGGGTTTAGGGTTTAGGGAAAGGATCAATCGTACTCTCGGAGCTTAAGCTCAAACTTCGAGGCAGATCAGTCGTGTAAACACGATCCTTGCATCCGGCTTTGGTTGTGGGACATCTCCTGCCTGTAATGCGATGTACCTGGAGGATTTGTTCTTGAGCTCGACAACTCACTGGATCGGCGAAGTTGGTAGGAGCCCGATGCCCTTGAGGTAAACCACAAGACAGATCCTAATCCCTCCAGTCGTTGATGCTTCTTCGTCGGGTCTGAGTTTCGAGCTCATCAATACTGTTGATGGACAATCCTGCATGACCCTAAGGACTCTAAACTATGGGAACTATGGTATATTCCTTGTAATGGGTAATGCAGGATTTTGTCCATCAACAGTAACTCCTCCTCACAAGAAGGCGACCGGGGCGCTGCTCTTCAAGGAAGCCCCCAAGTGTCCTGCGGCAAGAAGCGAAACAGTGAAGGCCGAAGTGTGGACACAACGAATTTTTACGGTTCCGGGATGTAGAAAGCATCGAAGTTGCACGCAGGAGACGTATATGCTTTAAGGACCCGGTGTCTAGGACTTGACTATGACATCGGCTACGGTGTGGGGCTATACCTAGACCCTAAAAGCTTACACCCTTCTCGCCCTTCGACTGTACTGTCTGTGAACCCGGCTTCGGGTCCAAAGCCGGGTTGGGCTCTGATGTGGGGGTTCGGAAAAATAGTACCCTAAATAGTAGGATCCCTATTATAAGCACCGGAAACCAAGGTACCCCTCTTTTTCGGAAACTCCCATGTGTCGTGTTTGGGGTTTCGGTTTCCTGAAGCTTCAGCCATATGCCTGCAGGGGAAGGAGCTCGCAGAACTATTTGTGGGAGTTGCTGCGTGCTGACGCCCTAAACCATCGATTTTGTGGTATGGGGCCCAAAGCTGTACAGAAAGCGTCTAGAACTCTTATGGAACACTTAAACTTATGGAACCCTTCCTATAGAACACTTGTTGTTCATCATAGAGACCCTATTTGGGAACTCCCGAGAGTTGAAGTGGAGGAGAACTTCGGCCCTTCCATGTCCGGCTTCGATGAAGACATCTGAGACGTGGCGGGGGAAAGGACAGAGAACTTGGCCGAGTGGAAAATCAGAGGGTTCAGAGCTTTGGATTTAGGGC